GCTCCTTGAAGTCTTCACAAATGGCTACCCTGCATCTTGGTGCCTGACATTTCAGTAGAGCCCAGCAGCCCGTTTTGTGGATTGGGGCACCTTTTTGCCAAGTGCTGTACACAGACACCGTAATCCCCACCCTGAACAGCTTGGGAAGATTACCCAAAGCCTGGAGGATTTCTGTTCGTGTGCTGATGAGAAGGAGAATATCAGACAAAAGCTGGAGCTCGTGTGGATGGATTTTGTAGCAAAATCAGGAGCTTCCGTAGTCTCTTTTTTTTTCCCAGTCTATGTTTTCTTTCTACCTTCCTTACACCATGTACACAGAGTCATTTGTCTCTTATTCTCCCGAGACACATACAATGCATTAGACTGTTGAAGCTGGTTAACAATATGTGTGACCTGCACATCTGCTAATTAGAATACCCTTTTGGTATATTTTTAGGAGTTTTTGAGTGAAACCGTAATGATGCAGGCACATATAGACATGTAGGAGCATCCCAGCATTCCTCTCGCTCAGACTTGATGATTTTCTTCCTTCCTTTCTTGTTATATGAATTTAATCATCATGAAAAGTGTGGACTGACGACCCTTAGGAGCTATTGTCCTACTCACAGCAATGAGCCCAGAAGGCGCAGGAAATTCCAGCCGGTCTAGAACAAGATCTGTGTCTGCTCAACGCGACATGGCGAAGGGAGCGCGTTGCTCCTGCGCTCCACTTGCTTAATTAAACACCGAGTTGTACTCAAGGTCGTTTCCTTGTAGTCTTTGATCTCTGGGGCTAAGCTACCTGAGGGACATCCCTTTCTTGACAGCCCTGGCTTTCTGTAGCCAAAAGGACGGGACGATGTTGTTGCTCGTTGCCTTGAAATACTGCTCTCCATGCTGCCCAGGTGCCTGCGATGCACTGCTTCATGGGCATGAATGCTACTTGCGCTCTCGTACGCTCCCCTCCCAACCAGACTTTCTCCTGATTTGACAGGAACCAGAGGAGAGTTTTGTCTTCCGAGACAATCAGACATTTTTCTGATGCTGGCGACTGCTACTGTGTTTTTTCTGATGTGAACCCTCAGCTCCTGAGAAGCAGGCTGGGTATCAGAGCCACGTAGTCATCGGGAGTCAGTACCCCATAGCGTTCTTCTGCACTCTTGTTGCCCGTTTCCCCTTGAAGAAGTGATCACCATCAATTGTGATGGACAATCAGCTTTCAAGCTGGAATAGCAGGAGTGTCCTGCCAAGGGCGATGATCTTCTCTCTTGGTTGTTTTTTTTTTTTGAGGAGTAAAGGGTGGAGGGGAGGTTTGGGGCTGAAAGGCTGAATGCTGAAAATAAAGCACGGCAGTGACAAAGAAATCCTTAGAGGAGGAAAGCATTTGCTGGGGTTTGGGGAGAAGCCCCGTTTTTTCCGGAGCAGGATAAAGTGGTAAGAGAAAGGTAGAGTCTGCGGAGGCTTGGATCCCCCAGAAACTGGAGGGCTCTCTGACTTCATCATAATATTCATCCTGGTTGCCTATATGAGACAGTGTCAACAAAAAGGGGAAATCTCTCTTCTTCCTTGTGTTATTTACTTGTGCGAAGGGCTGGTGTGTTTGTCCAAAGGAAAAGTATGTCTTGGGAACCCCAAAGTGATGTTGTGGTCACTCCTGTTTTCCTGCTGCTGCATGCTTACTTGGGTCTGCCGGTGTGAAATCTGTTCTACCTTTGCTTGCCACTTCACACATTTATTTTCACTTCAATTTCTGAAGCAGTGACACTGTGCACTGTATTTTGAGTGCTAATGTTGATTGAAGTTCTCCCTGAAAGGATGTGCACTTGAACTGCCAAGAGAGTGAGTGATTGACAGCAGGCAGAAGTACTTTTTGTGTCAAGGCTTTGTCAAGTCATTGTTGTAAAACCTACTTTACTGAATACCAATAATTCCTGCTAGATGTTCAATCAAAAGATACTCTCCTCCAGCACCATTTTAGAGTAATATTTAATACACAAGTGTCCTTCCCTAATAGGCAAATGTAAGGTAAGTGAATAACAGTACTTTACACTGAGTTAGTCCATCTGGGGGCTCCTGTGCACGTAGTTGCAGCCCAGGATAAAGGGAAAAACACTTTTCATTCCTTTGTACTGGGAGCATCTGAATGGCAGAGTTTGTTTAATACCGTGTCTTTTATAACTGCTTATTCAGCACATGTGCCAAAATAAAGACGTTTAATAACTCACAGCTGTTGATTTTTTTTTTCCATAGAAAATGTTTCCTTTTTTATATTAATACAGGCTTTAAAATAAATCGAATGATTTTATAATGGTTTTAAAGATTTTAAATAATCTAAATATATGTTTAATAATCAAAGCAGCTTACTACTCTCGAAATCACTTTCGCCGTCGGAGGAGGCCTGAAATATTGCATCCCTGTTATTTATTTTTACATCAATACTTTTTCTTTTCTTCTTATGTCAAAATGCTGCGTAAGTAGAATTCCCCTGCTTGGCTTTTTGAAAGGCTAACGTGAACAAGGCCACACCTCTGGCCAGGCGGAATTTGGCTAAGGCCTTGGGTTACAGGTCGTTACCGCTGAGGCCACGAGGTAGTTGGCCAGGGAGGGTGACTTTAACACTGAGGAGTTGCCACCTAGAGCAATTTACTGGGGATCCGGAATCCTTACTTGCTTTACAAAAGAAATTCAGATTCCACTGACGTTGGTTTTGGTTACAGAATAAATTTCAACAGGAGTTTCTAATCCAACAAGAAGGCTGAAAATTACCGTGCTGTCTGCTTTCACGCTGTATAATATTTTTAGCGCTTCTGCTTGATCACTGTAACAGAAGTAATTTCATTTCAGTCTACTCGGACAATGAGAATAATGTAATTGTTTTGTCTGAAAAATTGGTACAACTTCACAAATGTCGGAAATGCTTTATTGTTCTGGAGATGCAGAGTGTCTCAGGAAAATGAATCGTAGATGGAAACTTTGTAAAAAAGATGTGCTCTACTGAAAAAGCTGGCTGAGAGCAGGGATGGTTTGGGTAAAAAGTAAGCAGTAGTAGAAATATGTTTGTTAAATCTTGTTAGTTCTCTGGGCTTGTGAAAGTGGTGAATCTAGGGGGAAAATTACAATGATAAAGATACAGAAACAAAACGTGCAGAGGGGATAGCTTGTAACGCCCAACTGCTTTCTTAGGGCTTGTTTAATTTGGGGCTATTATAATTGTATATAGAAAATAAATAGAGTGGCAGTTGGAGCCAGTGATGGTCTTGTGGTTCTGAAAGAGCCGTGTAAGGAAGTGTCCCGGGTGGTTGTTTTGGGAAATACACCTGCATTCCGACTGCGAAAGCGCGTCTTGCCAATTTTCATTAAAATGCATCTCGTGCATAGGGCACTCCAGTGTAGTACTGGAGCAGCAGGGTTTTGAGTTTGGTTTTAACCCTTTAGGTAGTGGAAGACGCAAATTCTGGAAGAGCAGACAAAAGTCTGCCCCAATTCTTATCTTGTAGGGGTCCCAATTGTATTTTCTGGGGCTATGGGTTACAGTAAGGTTTGTGTTCGGTCCGAGATGAGTCATATGAGGAATGAGACAATTTGTGCAGTTCAAGGAGAGACGTTCAGCATTTGCACTGTGGAAGCATAAGCATGGGAAATAAGGGAGGATAAAGTACGGATGCACCAAACGGAGAGAAAGGGAAAGGGAGGCTGAAGGGGAAGAGGCTGTTAGAGATGTTGTTGTTTTCAGGCCTTTCATTTCACTGGCTTGCGTTCGCTGCAAGAAGACAAGTCGTTCTGCAGTTTGTCTTTCGTGATTTTTAACACCCCAGCAGAGACAGGTGAATTAAAAATACACTGAAATGCCTGAAGGGATTCAGTATAAGCTCCACTAACTTCACGTTGCAGATCCTGGGAAGAAGCTTATTTGTGTGTTCTTGAAGAACCCGTTGCCGCGTAGTCCGCAGCGGGTTTGCAGCAGGGGTTCATCTGGGTCCTGCCGTCCTTTAGAGGGGATGGTTTGTCTCCCCTTTCGTGGTCCTGGCTCCGTTCTTCATTGGAGCTGTTGTCTTCAATGACTCGTGCCAGCGGAGATGTGTAGTGTTCGCTACCAGGAATCTTTAATATGTGTCGTTGATTTTTCTTTTAATTTCAGGTTGTGAAAGGCCTTACCTATTTATGGAGTCTAAAGATTCTGCACAGAGGTGAGTAATAGATATTTTCTGTTTTCCAATGAAATGCCATATTACTTTATTTTAACAACAGTTTCTACAGAGACAGTAGGCCCTATTAACGTCTGGTTTGATTCCAGTGAAGTAATGCAGAATGAATCTTACTCATTAGCCTTGCAGATTCCTGATAAAATAGTTTTACTGCTGTTCTCTTTTATTGCCTTCCCTCCTCCCCTACAAAGAAAAAGACTAAAAAGAGAGACATGAAATTTATAGCGATTTAGATGCTGTGGGTTGCAAACAGGTGCCCAGTGGAAAAACCAGTGAGGAAAATCAGGTGTGTGGCTAGTATTGAAAATAGAAGATAGATAATGAATAGTCTTGTGTACTTCAGAAATCTCATGTGACAGCCGCAGGCATTGCTAGGGTCTCCGATCTCTAAAATTGTGGCCCACTGCCCTCTGACATGGTCATGAATAATTAAAGAAACTTTAAACCCACTTGGATGTAAGCCATTTCTGGGTTTTGCTGTTTATTCTCCTTCCTGAAGCTGATCTGTATTTTTTTAAACTTCTCATTTATTTCTTACTTTTTAATGTTGTTTCGTTTTGTTAAAAAATATCTGTTGTTGTAAGTAATTCAGATTTGCTAGAACTTTCGAAAACATCAACTCTGGAAACAGTGGAAAATGCTTTTTAAAGAACAAAGAAGCCCTTTCCCCTACACCACCACCACACCCCAAAGGAAAAAAAAAAAAAAAAGAAAAAGAAAAACTCATTACATTTATAATGTTTCTAAAGTGTCTGAAAGTAACTGCTCTGGTTCCTAATGTTGCTAACAATACTGTTTAATTTAACCCATCTGCTCGCTCAGCCCGTGTGCACAGTTGGAGCGTGCAGTAACCGACATCATTTGTGATTGAAAGCGAAGTGTGGAGTCGAGACACGTAGGAAATGGGGAGTTGCAAACCAAATAGGTGAGACCATGTCTTCGGGGGGTGCCTAGTTCTGGACTGGCTGAGCGGTAGGTGCGAGGTGACGGGCGAGGCCTGGGTTTGGGTGCCCAGTGTCCTGGTGTGATCAGCGCGAGGAGGTGGCGCCGCTGGAGAGTCACCCAGAAATCTGTGCGTTGAGTGGGGAGAAGCAGCTGATGGGAAACACTGACTACCCGTACGGCTGGAGGTCTTGTCCCTGCCTGGAGCTTAGGCTCAGGCTGTCCTCAGGCTCTTGTGGAGAGTTTGCAGCGGAGAAGATCGATCCTGCCTTTGTGTGATGGCCCAGCGAGCAGCCGTGCAACGGGACGTGGGCTTCAGTTCCTCCTCGGCCGCAGAGCCTCTCCTTCTGGAAATCGCGCTGAGCACAGGCTCCCTCCTGGGTGGCAGAAAGAGGGCTGTGGCCAGAAGAGTGAGCAGGGTTCAAGTGAGGACCTGGCATTGTTACCTCCGATTAGAGGGCGAGTGAAATGCTGAGGCTGCTGGTGTGTTTGACCCGAGGCCGTCGCTGGATTAAAGGAACGGGAATAACCCAGAGTCCACGACCAACTCGATGCCGGCATAGGTTATCGAGGAGGCTGCAGTTCTGATGGTGGTTTGAACATTTCACCTACTAGCCTGAATGTTGTCAGATGCAGGGATTTATCGGCTCCATCCACTCGCAGCAAGAGGATGAACAGTCTGGATGCCAGCGCTGCCACGGCGATTGTCAGAATAAATACAGAAGAAAAAGCAGCAGGGCCATCCGGGGCTGAGTATCGCTCTGTACAGGCTACGCAGTCTTTGCCGTGCTTTTGCAACGCCGAAAAAGAAAGAGCAGGTTTGAAAAAAAATGAAGTTTTTTTCATTTTTAATTATTTCATTAAAGATTCTGGCCACCTACTGAAGGCGATTTGGAGGGAGCATTGTGGTCAGGCATAAATACAACAACTGTAACACTTTATTCTTCTGCTGCTGTAAAATCAGAAGCCAGGTCTGATTTTTGCTTTGCCAGTAAAACACAATCTCCCCTTCCGCGTAGGTTTCATTGCCTTGATTAAAGACCAGCTCAGAGTTTTTGATGAATTGTGTATGGTCCTTGCTATGATCTAAAGAAAAGCGCAGAAACTGATTTTTCATCACACTTCAGATTTTTCTGGCCTTGGTCTGTTGCTAGGTTGACCAAGGTGAGAACAGCACTGCAAAATGCCATGGAGGGGATAACTATTTTTTCAGCAGAGTTTCCTCAAGGGATTGGTTTTCAGTATTGCTCTGTACCCGTTTTTTAAGGTACAGAACGTGTGTGTGTGTACTTCTGTATCTTAAAAATGGATACGGAATAATGCAATGCATGGAAGATGGCTGTTTCTCAATCTCCTTCAGCTGTCTCCTGGTTTTAATGCATCAGAGGTAAATGAAAGAAAACTGAACCCTGACTTCCTTGCTGTCACGTGTAAAGCAGACCGTGCAGGAAGCTGGCGTAGGCTAAGAAGTCAAGAATTTCCACCGTGGTGATAACGAAGGTGGAGAAGCAATCGTCGCGAAGAAGCTGTGTAAGGCAGTGCAGCAGCCGCCAGTTGGTGACTAGAGCCTGGATTAAAGCAAAGGAAACAAACAATGAGCAAGTCTTTTATTCCAGATCAGACATTTCAGCAAATATTACAGCTTAACTTCAAAACAAACCTTGCGACTAATGAGGTGATAGCCGTGCATATTAATAAACCCGAAGCTGTAGTCGTAGTCATCACACCCACATCAAACATAAACATAAGATTAACACCTACAGCACTTCTTTGGAAGATGTGAGAATGTCCCAATGATAAGTGTGCTCTTTTCCCCAGAGGATAAGAAGTAGAAATGGAAGGGTAATGAGAAATTAACTTAGATTTAAAACAGAATTAGCAATTAAACAAGTCTAATCATGTACAAAGTCAAAGTTTGTATAAAGACAAACCAAAATCTGTTAAGTTCAAGAATAAGTGTAGACCGTATGCATATTATCTGGTACGTTTTTCTCTGTTCACACCTCCTTATTAAAAGGAGTGTACGAAATAAATGTTACCCGCTTGTGTTTAATTGTACTGATCTGTATTTGTGTGCCTGCCTGTATGGGTGCTGGGGCCGGTGTATGTTGCAGGGTTTGGGCGCCTTGGTTTCCGAGTAGGTTTTAAATTGGTGTCAGAGTTTTGGAAGCGTTTTCTGGCTTGCGATGCGCGAGGGTGAGCAGAGTTGATCTGGGGATCTTCCTGGACTGTCTGTCAGTTACGTGGCTGGCTGTGGCAGAAGGGAGGTTTGTGCATCGCTCCGACCATCTCTTTTTTTCATTTTCTTTATTATTTTTTTTTTCCCCAGGGATGTTCCCGTACAAAGATACTTAAATCTTCTTTGTTTTGACAGAAGCTACCGGAGCTGAGGCATGCTGGTTGGTAGGGACAGGCCCTAGTGCAATATGAGCGACGAGTGTTCCCGGCTTCTCAGCAGTGACTGAAGTTTCCTGAGGATTTCACCGAAGATGCTCAGAGCAAAGTATTTTAACTTCCCCCACCACCCGCCTCTTTTTAGCTCCGTGAGAAATAATCAGCGTTAGTGCTGCGTAGAATGAAGGACAAACAAAAATACTGGGGTGCCTGTGTGCGTGCGTATACGTGCTTAGGTCTGGACACGTGGGTGCGCGCTCATGGACCGCTTAGGCTTATTTAAAAAAAAAAATTAAATAAATCACAGCCTCTGCAAAAAGCACGCTGATGAGGTCATTGTGGCAAGAAAATATTTTCCTTCTTCCAGCAGCTTCACTTTGTTGGCAGTGATGTTGTGCGAGCTGTCTGTAGCTCCGGCTGCGCGTTTGTACCTCGTCTGCCTTGAACCTCGCGTGCTGCTGTTTTGTGGTTTTAAAAGGCAACCAGTCAAGAGACGGGGTTGAAATATCTGCGGGGTTTTGGTTTTGTCCCCCAGTCGTTAATCTGTTTGCTTTTCGGTACGACTGGAATGTTGGGTGTTCAAACAGCTGATCCTCTGGCCGTTCTGTTCAGTGGTACGTGAGAGCTTGGAGGTCCCGTTGATTTGCAGAGAGGTGAAATGACTTAGGCAGATATATCATAGAGAGGACTGGTTCATCCTCCGTAATGATGCTTCGTAGAAATCATTTGTATTAAGCAAGCACTGGTAATGGGAGGATAATGACCCCTTTTGGCTCTTGTTTAAATTCTTTCACTTCTAAACAGTAATATTAATCACAAGCAGATGGTGCAGAACATTATTTATGCACATTTGTTTTCCAAAACCAAAAAAATGTTTAACCCATTAGCTGAAGTGGTTTATGAAACAAAAAGGCTAATTTACTGATTGGGTGATTTTTCTCCCCACTTCCAATGTGAGGCATTTTGTGAAGCGACACATTGGTTGAGGATCGTCACTTTTTTCTCAAGGAGACCAGCACAACCGTTGGAATTCATAGCAAATATTTGCTTAAAGCCCCCATTTGTGGTGCTGTTTAAATTCTGCTGCAAGGACAGGCAGTATTTGTTCTTAGCAGCGCTTGTTTGGCTGCAGCTTGCTCAGTAGAGTCCCCAGCCTGCGCAGGCTTCCCTTCCTCAGTGGGCTGAGCACTGGTGGCTTTTTGTCTTTTAGGATTTTGGGTTGTGTGGTTTTTAGGTTTTTTTCTTTAATTTTGTTTGTGGAAGGATTTCAGGATCAAGCAACGCTTAACGAATGGCAGATTTATTTATTTTTTTATTATATCAACTTACTGTCACACCCCACGTGGTGGGCAGGGAAGGGGAGATGGGATCTGCAGATCCCCAAGTGGCACAAGGTGATGGCTGGCTGGAGCCTTGGCTCCTCCTTGGCGAGATGGCATAGATGTGGCGTGGTGGTTTCCTCTGGTGGGTCCTGTCAAGGGAGCAAGGACGTGTGGGCTGCACCTGGCGACCACCCTGCCTCTGCCTCTGAACTTATGACTTGTACGTGGTTGGGTCCTTATAGAAAGCAGATTTGGCGACGTGCGTGTCGCCTCATCATCGCTTTCCATGAGGTCATAGAGTTTCACGCTTAGAGCTTCCTCCTGCCTTGCCAGACCCTTCGCTCGGCATGAAAGTCTTTTTGCTTTGCTAAAAAACAACGCAGTTGATCCGGTCCTGCTCCCACAAACCTACTTCCAGCCCCGCGGCTCCCAAATGTTTCTCTTCTCCATTTGGTTATTAATTATTTTCCTTACATCCTTTACAGTTAAAAGCAAGAGCCTCTTAGACAGCAGTTTGCTTCTAAAAGTGTGGCTACTATCGGCTGCTGGGTTCGTGGTGCAGAATGTCGGTGTTTCCTGCGTGTGGAATTGCACCTGCTGTTCAGGTCGTTACCGTTCAGGGCAAGCCTGGTAACGAGGTGGCTCTATTGGCTGGTTTTGGCCTGCCATATTTTTAGAAAGAAGGTTAAACAGGATTACGGTGCAACTTACTGTTCTTCTCGGGATTCAGGATAGAGCCTGCTGATGTACTCGGCCTGTCTTGTTGGATTTAGCAAAGTCACTCGACGCCAGAGAGGAGCGTGCCGCTTAGCAGGTTGCCACAAGCGAATACTTGAGCCTTCCTGAGGTTTTAGGTAGAAAACCTGTTCCCAAAGTGTTGTTGGGAAGGGTAGGGGAGATTTGGCGACTGCGTGGGTCGCTCTGTAGCGGTGTTTTGTCTCATCAGCTGAGGCGGGGGAATGGGTGGAAATGCAGCATGCGGATTGAATTCCTGAAGATGAAATGGAGATCGGGGTACGGCAGGCGGGGTGTCGCTGCTGTAGCACAACAGAGACACTCGTGACTGATTTTTCTTTTGGGTTTGGGGGGAAATTGCCAAACGTACCAGCAGTATTGATACCCACCTTAAAATACATAGAGCCACTTAAGCTGTGTAACGCACTATTGAATGCTCCCCTTTTTTAAACTGGATTTTTAGCTCAAATATAGGAAAGCATTTAATCAGCTTGTTAATTGAGGTTATACATTTCTACATTACAGGGACAAATTAAACAGGCTACTGTGGTACCAGAAAACATCTGCTAAACAAAGGCAAACTTAATGATAAACAAAATTAGGTTCTTTTCTAGTTGGGTTTCATCCATCTGTACCCAACTAGTGTTCACTTTTAAAGAAGGCAGAGATACAAGCTATTGCTTTTAATCCATTTTGACAGAAGAAAGCAGTGATTAGGCAAAGCCACTGTGCTCTAATCTTCCCAAGTTTAAGCCAGGCCATAATGTGCACATTGTGCTTTCCGACTGGCATCCCTGGAACAGAAAAGATGCTCAATGTTTCCTGCACTACAGTCAGGCTGGATCTTCAGCAGTTTATTCACACGTCGATTTTACAGTGTGCAGCAGAAGCGTACCAGCTTCTTTTGGCGTCAGAGGGGGTCGGCATTAAGATCTTCGCACTGACAATCTGGCTTTACGACGTACATTGATGTTTTATGTGCTGGAGCAGGATTAGTAATCATTTTAAGGCGTTGCTGGCAGTTAACCTCTGTGAAAGCTCTGAAGCGGTGAGATCGGAGCCGTTCTGTGCAGTAGAAGCCATGGAGGTGGAAGCCAGCAGCTTTGAATAATGGTGTGCACAAGAGCAAAGCTGCGCTCTGCGTGTGCTTGGAGCAGGAGGAGGCTCCAGTGTGCTTGTATGTTGTATGTTTTGTGTTTTGCCTGTGTTCCTCTATCCAGGTGTTTGTATGGGATGCTTTGTATTTGTAATTTTTATAGTCTGCTCTTGTCCCCGCATGGAATTGCGGGGGGGCTGTTAGAGAAGAGGGAGGCAGGGCTAACGGCGGTGTTAGAATACAAAGCCACAGGGCTGGGGTGAACCTGGGGAGATCAGCCCTGCTGTCCCTCGATACGGAAACAGCCTTTGCTGTTTGCACCGTTGCGTTCGGCTTGTTCCTAAGTCATCCAGTGGCGGAGGTTGTTCCCCCTCTGTCATTTCCACTTCGTGCCGTAATCGCGGATCCTTTTTTGCAGACCTGCTCCAGCCTACGCTCCAGGCAGTTGTTTAATCCTGTATTTATGCAGTTGGTTAATCCCTGTCTAAGTGTAGTGCTTCCACGTGCCCCTGTTGAATCTGATCCTGGTTTTTTCAGTCTGATTTTCCGGTTTGTCAAGATCAGTTTGAATTCTAGGTCCCATCCTTCAGTCTACTTGCTGTCCCTCCCGGATGGGTGTCACCTGCGGATTTGGACTCTAGGATCTTAAGGGTCTTTTCCAACCTAAATGAGTCTATGATTTAATAACGTGGATTTGAGTATTTGAGAGGTGCAGATATAATGTCATCTGTGCTACTGACTGTTACAAACCAGAGGTTACATTTGAAATAGATCTCTGAAATATTTCGTATTAAAATCTATCGTGCCAATATCCGTAACGATCTCTGTATATGTGATTCGTATCTAGGATAATATAGATTAAATCCCTTTTTTTTTTTTTTTTTTTCCCTCAACAGATGTGAAGCCGTCTAATATGTTGGTGAACACGCGAGGCCAGGTGAAGCTGTGTGACTTTGGGGTTAGCACGCAGGTAATTCCCCCTTTCGGGATCTACCCCACGCTCTTTCTGATGGCAAAATCACCTGGCTGCCAGACAAACAGCCCCACAGCAAGCTCCCCTCTGCTGGGACAGCCCTATTCATTTTTAATCTCTGGGTGACTTTTCTTCATCTGAATATGATTGTTCATTGTTTAATGACAGTAAAAACTGCTGATATTGTAATTACTACTTACGAATAGCAAACTTCATTGATATGCAGCTTTGATATGAAAGCGTTTTGGCCAGACAAAAGGGAGGGCAGAACGAGAGATGTGTCAGGGGAGCCCAACTGGCCCACAATAAAAATTAATATTGGGAGTAACAATAGTAGTGGGCTTTTACAATGTGCAGCACAAATTTTAATTAATTTCCATTTTGGGCCTCCCTGGAGAACTTCTCTGAGAGTGACCCATGAGCTTGCTGTGATGTTGATTTGAATTTCAGCACCTTTACTCTCAGCCAAACATGAGGACCAAAGAGAAGGTCAGCCTCGTATTATAAGTTGTCAGAGTCTGTTGTCCCTCCAGCGTATTTAGTGCTCATTGCATTCAAGTGATGAATGTGGCTTTATTCACATCTTGAGCCAGCTGACTGAAAAATGAGCGCGTTCAATCCTACTTCAAATTGACTTTTTATATCAGACTAGTTTGGGGTACTAAAGCGATAAGCATCCTGTTTAACAGAATTGTTTAAGGTTATCTGCCATAAACTGTAATGCAGCGCTTGTTTAAATTGGAACTCTCATTCCGAACGAAAGAGAGATTTAATCATTTTTAATGCCTTTGCAGATAAATTTGTTCCCTTTTACATAATTTTTAGTTGATTTATAGGAATGATGATTGTAGGTTAAATGAGGAATAATTGCCCATTTTATTTCCACATTATCTTTATATTGTTCTAACAGACTGTTTTGTCTGATAGCTGGTGAATTCTATAGCCAAGACGTATGTTGGAACAAATGCTTATATGGCGGTAAGTGGATTTATGCAGGAATAACATTTGAATAGAAGTATTTGTTCACGGTCTTGTTCTGTGTAATGCAGGATACAATCTAAGTCAGTTCTCAAACTTCATCTCTCCCTGTCCCCAGCATAAGCTCTGTCTCAGTCGTGCGTGCCACGAAACAACTCCCTTTTGCTGTCTCGCAGACCCGCTCCCCTCCCGTCTGTGCTCTGTGGCAACAGCACTTCTGGCTGATAGGGAAGAGTGACACTGGAAAAGCGGTTCTTTCACGTGTTTTTAGTTGCCATTACTGCGTTGTCACAACTGGGAACAAAGAAAACAGCCAGTTCAGCTTTAAAAAACCAGTTTGCCACTGATAGCCTGTGGCTCTTTGCAAACTGCTGACGGTTCAATACTGCCCACGGTTTGGGAACCGCTGCGCCCAGCCTGCAGTTTAGCAAAGCACTTCAACCCCTGCAGACATCCCATGGACTGCTTGATACCTGCACACCTGCCTGGGTGTTTCCCATGTGAAGCTGCCATGGAAATTTGAACCTAAAAATATTTGGGCTAAGAATATTAGGGCATTAAATTGCATGTTGTGTAACGTTCATGCGGTACCTATCAAATCATCAGTGCATTTCACTTGTCTGTATAGGTTTTGGTCAGAATGCTTGTTGTGTTGAGACTGTTTTTGTCCTTTTTCTGTACGTTAAATTCCCATAATTTTTAGATCACACAGTGCTGAAGACATATCGTTTGGAGGAATGCTGCTGCTGTTAGCTAGGATGTGAGGTTTGGGGTCTGTGGCGTGGGGTGTTCATCTCATTGAGATTAATACGGTGACGAGAGCCAGTCTGAAAAGGAGACCTCCAAAGTTAGTGTGTATTTTCCATTATATCAATGTGAATAATTTTAGTTCTCCATTTAACAGGTGTGAAAACATAAACTCTTCGCTTTAGAGCAGTCTGTTAATTCTTGTCTGTTATTTTTCGCCATTAAAATTCTTTTCACAAACTGTTTATGTCGTAATATTAATGAGGAAAAAATAAGTGTTCAGCTTGTTTAAAAAAAAAAAAAGTAAACAATACAAAGAGGTTGATATGTGTATTTGTCAAACCTCAGAAAGGAGGAGAGAGAAATCCATGACCTTTAATCGCTTTCAGGTATTTTTTTCTTACTTTCTTGTAAGAGGAAAGCAGAACAGGGTGTCCATTTATTTGCTAAGTGCTTTTCTAGTCAAGGCATGCTCATTATGTGGCTTCTGAAACACACATGTCACCATCCTAGAAAGACTTGGGCTGTCCTGTGTCATCAGAATATTATGTGCAGAAAAATGTTTGGGTTTAATTTTTTTTTAAAAAAAAAAAAAAAGAGAGAGAGAAAAAAAATCTGGTTTTGTGTATCGCCACTCTCACTAGTAGGCCTGCTGGTTTCTGTGCCTCCATTTTCTAAAAGAACTGCAATATAGTGATTCAGACAAATAAACAGCTTCAAATTAATCAACTTTTCCAACTCAGCTGTTACTCTTAGAGTGGTCTTAAGCAGGTCTGAGAATTAAATTGTATTATGCTTCTGGTGTACAAATCAAGATTACTGGTCTCTTTCCCAAGTGTACATTAAATAAATTACTTCTTTTTCTTATTGTTTATGGATGAATGTGATGCATTCATCTATTAATTGAAAAAGAGAAGTTTAAGCTAAAGCGTACTCGATCTGATTTCTTCTGTTAAAATTGTTTTGCTTGCTGAATGAGTCATTTGTCGTCATTAAATTTATAGTCTAGTCATCAAAAAATACTGAGGGTCATAAGCTTTGGTTGGTCTGCCTACTGGGCAGCCTGGGAGTGAATTTGAAACCATTAAAAAAGTTGAGGTTTCTCTTTAAAATAGACAAGCAAAAAAGCTTTTTGATCGAGAAGTTAAAATTTCCAACAAAAATACATTTTCTGCAAAAACATTTTACCACCACTTTATCCAGAAAAAAAAAGTTCGTTAAAAAAGTGACTGGGTGTAGACATTTTTAGGAGAAAATATTTTTGAGCTCTGTGTCCTTAGGATAATCTGCGTTGCACACTTTACTTTATGCATGTGGTGTTCTTATTTTCATTGTCTTTTCCATGCTGGTAAATTCCCGTGACTGGACTTTTTGTTTAAACTTGCCACTGTCTTCTGTGAACACGTGATTCCTGAATACACGTTTCTGTTTAAAACTTGAGCTGCTCTAACGGAAGAACAGACGATTTAATGTCGCTCAGTGTGAATTATGCATCTGATTTGGCGGCTCGGGAAAGGGCAGGGTCTCATCTGCGCTACAGGGACCTGCGGCTGTTCTCATCCTGCCACAGGTGCCGTGTCTGCCTGTACCAAACCGTGCCTGGCCAGCACAGCCGTACCGGCTACGGTGGGAAGGCAGATGTAGCTGTCAGCGTATGGTTTTGGCTGCATATCTGCATCTTTATGAGGATCTTTGTCAGTATAAAAGGATGCTTGAACATCATCTCCCTCTATGATGCTGTCACAAACGTTTCTAAGATGCACTCGCCTAGGTCAACGATGCTTAATGAAGGCTCGCCTTAAGGAACTTTAAAAAATAAATAAGATTTTTTAGATCAGCTGTTCAGCTCAAAATAAATGAGGCTCAGTCAAAAGGATTTTGTTCCAGTTGCATTCCGGGGTGGGTTTTTAGGTTATGGCCGTTGTGGAAGGCTATCCTTAACGTGGGCAGCGCTGTGTTTTTTACTTAACATTCATGCTGCGATAAAAGCTCTTGACCTGGGATTAGCAGTGCAGAGTAAACATCTGAAAACACATTGGACTGGCACTAATTTGGGAGTTTGTTTTCTAAAAAAGGTCTCTGGATTATTAAAGACTAAAAATACAACCATTGCATCGTAGGTGGTTGGGCTAGACAGGTGCATTAACAGCACAGTGGGGAGAGAAGTCTCACGGAGCCTTTTATTGTTACATTTCATGCTGTACTTGACCTTGGAAATGCTTAAATTGTAGCTTTCAAGTAAAAACTAGCAGTTATATTTTACAGCATTCTATTTCATGAGGCATTAAACTTGCTGTTAATAGTTTGGAGTGAAGTCTTTTTTTTTTTTTCTATAGGTCTAAAATGAAATTAAAAAGTATATAAAATGAAACTGCTGGCATGTGACTTCATGGATTCTTTGGGCTTCAGTAACTTTGCTTTTTAAACCATAGTTACTCGCTTTTTGAACCATAGTTACTCCCCAACCCCAGGACTCAACATCGGGACTCTCTTTCCCTAGCATACCTCACTGCCGTGCCTGGGCCTGTGCAAGCCGTTGGCTTTCATTGTTGGGTAAGCCAGCCCCAAGACAAATGCCACGGCCAGCTTTACAAGGTGCTCAGCAGTGCGTGGCTACCGAGCGTAACCGAGTCCTTTGCTCTTGCAGGAGAGGCAAAAATAAGTAAATAAGTCAGATTGGAAGAGTTTGGGTTGCTCTCTGCCGGGTTAGCCGGTGGACATTAAGCTGCTTTGTGTTTTCTCAGTGGATTTGTTGGCCCTGGGCTAGCTTTTGTGGAATAAGACCCTCGGTGTGTTTGCTAGGCTCAAGAAGGTGTTTCTTTCCATCTCTTTGCAGCCTGAGCGGATTTCAGGAGAGCAGTATGGAATTCATTCGGACGTTTGGAGTCTAGGGATTTCCTTCATGGAGGTACGCAAACATCTATCGTTTTCACGTGCGCATTGCAAGAATCAAATGAAATCTCTCAAAATATTTTAATGTAGTCTTTACATGCTCTTTTATATCTGCGTGCTTTTAACGATCGCTGAATTTCTTGGCTGTATTTAGAATGGATTTGTTCTTACTGCCTTCAGTTCGGTTTGGTACAAAGAGTGCAAACCATGTGTCGGGCTTAAACCCTCTAGTAAATCTCCATAGGAGAGTTCAGAAGTAGGGCCTGGTGCATGGATGCCTCTGCATCCTTTCAGCACCTCTGGGACGGAAGATGATGGTATTTCTGTGTTGCATCTTCGCAGGCCAGGACAGAGCGGGCCGTTATTAGGGTTCAAATAGCGTTATGCAGATTCAAGGCTCGAGCTGGTTAATGGCCTTGCCAAATCTTCGCAGCAATATTTGCACGATGGTGTGAGTCTCTCCCCGTGTGATTAAGTAAAGTGTGTGAATTCAAGTGTTCGCTAGGGCTTTTGGAAAGATTTCTCACAAACGTGGTTTCAAGCAGGAGAAAGTCTTATCAAAACGGAGCACTTCAAAGAGAGCGTGGTGGTAAATGCCGTCATTCAGGAGAAGCGATGCTTTCTGCGGGTTTCGTCAGAACAAAGTCAGTTTTGATCCAGGAAAAATGGGTTTGTTGGGGTTTTTTTCAGCTTTGGGTTCATCAGATGTTTTAAGAAACATGAATTTCAATGACTTCATAAAAAAGGATGATTGTTTATAGGAAAGATAACCTGGAGTGTCTTAAGTTGAGTAGAAATGTCTGTGTTACGATCGTGTCTTGACCAGTAAAACCACATCTGGCTTGGTCTGGCCTGGGAGAAGGGACGAGTAGCTCTGGTCTGGTGGTGACAGAAGCGTATGTTCACGCAGCCTTTGTCACACTGGCCTCGGCTGGCTACAGACAAGCCAGCTACAGCTGGAAACCCTCGTCGCCTTGGCAGCTCGAGCAATAAGCCCTCAGGAGAGTTTTTTCAACTTAAGGACAATGAAAGAACTTCCCTTGCTTGAAGCAGTCGTTTCTCCCTGTAAGAACACTTCATTCAAGCTGTCGATGACCGGCATAGTCTTTCTCACGGAGCCCAATGAAGGCACGATGCGATTAACTAAAAGATACAAACCCCTTCCCGGCTCTTCTGATATAATATGGGGTCGTTCAGGTGAGCCTGAATATGCCTTTTGGTGAAGTGCAACTGGGAGTTTTAGCAGAAGATTAGGTAGAAGTTGAGTAGTCTTGGTGCTGGCCCTCTGCATCTAGGCAAATTTTCACGTTTTGTTGCTGGAAAGTTAACCGAGATTATTGTTACGTTTTCAAACAATATCTCCTTGCCAAATCAGTTCTATCCAAAATGAAAACACTTCATGCGGAATCGCGGCATTCGGGTCTTGTAAATCTTTTCCAAAGAGTCTGACTGAAGCTGACTCTGAATTACAGTGATGACATACTTTAACGTGTCACAGGGGATGCAGGTCTCTTAATTTGTTTTACTGCGAATTTTAATGGTTTGTGGTGCTGGAGAGCCCTCACAATTTGGGGAGAGATACAGAACGTACGCGCACACGCTGTAAATGAATCTAGCCAGCAAAGGGCTAAAATGAGGTTGTATTGCGTTAAGACTTGACTATGGTGTTCTTCCAGATTCCCAGTGGAATAGCGTGATATAAATGCAGAAGCCTTACAGAGCAACCGTTTACTTGTTCCTTTGCCGAATAAAAAATGTATCTCGATGTGCAGCAGCAATCTGGGATTCACCGGGTAGACCAAGACATTTGGACTTAAGCTTAGAGTTAGCAGTAGGTCACCTGTCTGGTTTGAAGGATGAATTTCACTGTATGTTAGCCAACATGAGGAAAACTCCTTTCATTTACATTTACTCTCCTGTTTTAAACCTTCTCAACTTTTTTTTTTTTCCCCTCTCTCACTTTCCTCGAATGTCTTGTGAACCAGATGTACAAAAACCAATTTGGTTCTGTGTCCTTTGTTAATTGGTATGTCATCTGGTCCTCCGAGACCTCTCTTCAGCGTGATCACTGTTTTATTGAAGTGGTCTGAGTGATGTGTTAAATGATGAAAGCAAGGACAGTGGCTTAGAAAAATGTCTCAAAAAAGGTGAAGAAGATGCTCAAAGAGCCACACAAGGTCACTGTCATTAAAGTAACACTGTATTGACATGGGGATTGGTAGTGGAAACACCCAGGCTCTTGTTGTTGGAACTGTTAAAAAAGGAAGTTAGCATTTGCTGTAGGATTTTAAAACCATCTCTGTTGAGTAGCGTGATACTCCAATCCCTACAACTTCGCGCCAGCACAGTTATAGCATGTAAATTTAAAAGAAATGGCGTGTGGGACCCAGTTAGCAGGGGCTCTTCTGACAACTGACAACACAAAATAGCAGCTAAGTAAATCTTCTCATTTTCTTTTAATATTTTTTCTGATCCTTTAAAATGTCGTGAATTTCTTTGCTGCAAAGCTGTGTGTAATGAGAAACTGAAATGTCTTTTTTGAAGGTTAAGAAAACTGCCCTAAAAAACTTGCTGGCAGAGTAGGAAGAGTGGTTAGATGTGGGTACCCCCTGTGTTTTGAGAGATGGTGAGCGTTCTTGTTCCTTCTGAAGTAAGAGGTGTGTGAGGGTGCTCATCTTCCCTTTGCCAAAAATAAACAATAAATTAAAAATAAATAAATTTAAAAAGCTAGCAGCGTTCCTTCTAGTATTATTGCTATTATTTCCCTTTTTTTGGAGTTTGCATTTCTTTCTTCAGGATTTTCTGAAGTGAATAAAATTTAATACAGTGTTTCATCACAGTCTGTGTGTCTTCGTGAGGTTTTCAGATGTTTTATTTAAGTGCTCTTGGGTTGACAAAGCAAGTTCAATTTAAACCAATGACATTGCTGTCACTACGGCTGAAGACTGTGTCAGCATTTTCATTTATAAAAGCTGTTTTTCAGGGCTTTATAACTCAGTCATAAAACACGCTGCAGGCTGACTGGGCTGAGTCGGAGTGCTGTGTGCGCTCTGTAACTGATTCAGTCTCCCTCCAAGAGCCGTGCCCTGCACAGGAGGACAAATTAAATTGCCTAATATTTCTTGTTACTCTCCAGTATGACTCTAATCCTACCTTCCTTGGCTGCAAAGTGAACTTGAAAGCATCCAAAATGGGATAAAAACCATCCTGTTGGGTTTTGATAGGCAGCATTCTTGTCCAGTGGTGCCTTCTTGCGGAGGTGTTTGAGGAGTAGGCGTGCCTTCAGCGGAGTCGCTTCTCCTGGGATGAGAGACTGCTGTAGGAAACAGGAAAGTGGGTGAGACAAGCTTTGGTGGGACCCTGTAGGGCTAGTGTGTTCTCAGGTCCCCCTGCTTCCACGAGGGCTTGCTTCTTGGCTTTCCCCTGGAATTTACCACCTCCGAGGTGCCTGCTGAGGAGCGCTGGTATGGGCTTGAGATGCTGCTGAGGACCAGAGTCACCTACGTACCATGAGGAGACGGTAGGTGAGGAGAAGGGAGTTGCGGGAAGGGAATGGAATAGAGTTGTGATCCGAGCTGTTCACTGAGGCCAAGTACAGGCTTGCAGAACTTTGCCAGAAGATCCAGGGCTCATTTTATCTACGGGTAGATTTGGTCTGATATTATATTGAAATGCGGGAAGTGAAAGTGATCCGCTTATGCCACAAACCGACTAAGTTTTGGGAATAGAATGCGAGCTCGTGGGCTTGGCTGATGATACCTTTTTGCACTTCCTTTTTTATCACATCCTAATCTCTACTTTCCTCTGCTGAGAAAAACAGCTACTTTCCTATGTTTCAGGCCTCCTTTTAAAATTAACTTTTATTGAAAAGATTATCAATGTTCACTCCTTCAGGGGAAAGCAGTTTGTCTGTTAGTTCTGATGTTAGAAAGAAGTTCCTAAAACTCCCAAAATGAGAATTTTAAGTCTTCAGTCTGGTACCAGAGTTCTCGGTGATCTGTATATTTGCAAGAGCTTTCAAGGGTTGCTAGTTGTTTGTGACATTTGTATTAAGAGTCTGGTTTATGTCATATGACGGATTTGCAGCGTTCCCACATACAGGAACACCAGTATATATCCAACAGACATGCCTGCATGATGTAGTTCAGGCACGCAGATGTACCTTCTCAGCAGGGTTAACCCTGATTGCATGCAATGTCAATGTTGTGGAGTCTTAGACTCTTCAGCGTGCTTGGGCTGGGAGCAAGATGGAGATGTAAGAAGAGCTCATTCAGACCACGAAGGCAAAGAGGAGGAACATGTTTGAAGAGGGTGCTACAGGAGAAGCGGCTCTGCTTTAAGATGATTCTCTTAAAGCACTTCAGTCTTTCATATGTTTCTCTGCATAAAACTGATGTGAAGACTCGGTATATGTAATCTGGTCAAGGAGAGGAGGTTTCAGAAGAATTCTTTCAAGTCTAAAATATGTGATCAGCCACGTATCATCAGCTTTGAAGTGATAACAGTTCAAGATCAAGATTGTGAGCTGATCTATAGGAAGTTCTGCAGACCACAATTTCATCTTCTGCAGGATTTCACTTATGTGTGGACATAACGGTTGGTCTTTCATCAATTTTACACCCTTATCTAAACAATAGCAGGTAGACAGATGTGGAGGGGAAATCTAAGACACGAAGCTTGGTGGTATAGCATAGTTTCTGTAGTGGCACTGGAGACCGGGTGAAGGTTTGGTAGAAAAGGGGCAACTGTGAGTGTCTGCGTGACTGCTGGAAGCAGACACGGACCATGGACTGACCTACAGTGTTGAAAGCTGCACCGAGTAGAGGCAGGAGGAATATTATTTAAAGTATTAGAAGGTGGCGAGGGTCAAGCTTAAAAAGAAAACGAGAATTTGCATTTAATCTCCATGCACAGCAGCAGTCATGGAATTGTAACAAAATAGTTGGCTGAAGCGAGGTGTCTCTGACCAAGTGACAGTTCTTACTGGACGTGTCCTTGCTTTTTGTGTGCTTGGAA